ATTTAATCTTCATTTAATTTAATTTAAATTACTTTTCCGGCAGGAGTTTTCGTCGATTTAGATAGGATGAACGCTGGGGATTATTATAGGGAGGCGATATAGGTTAGGGTTGTTTGATGAAATGGGGGATGGTACAAGAGGAGGAGGTGGAGCAGCAGCAGCAGCAGCCTCGTCCGCACCGGTATCAGCATTATTATCCGCGTCATCCTCATCATCAGGACCAGGACCAGCATGAGCATGATTATCAGGAACAGCAACAGCAGAGGATGAAAGAGGCTGGCTTCTTTCCGCTTGCACTGACCCCCCTTCCCCTTCCTCCTCCCCTCTATTCACCCAACTAACTCTCGACCCATTCGCTGCGGACTCAGCTTCCATCGCTCCCCTCCCTTCCTCCTCTTCTGTCCTGCTCACCCTTCCACCTCCAACTCCCCTCTCCCTGCTCTCAGCATCTGCCTCTCCCCCATCCCCACCATCCCCAGCAACCTCCCCTCCCATCCCTCCCTCCATCCCACCATCCATCCCTCCCTCCACCACCCCTTCGCTAGGCTCGGTCTCCGCAGCTGACACCGAGGTTCGGGCCGAGCCGGACCGCCGGACGTAAACAGAGAAAGTAGGATCAGTACGAAGAGACTCAGAGGAGGGGATGCGGCCGAGGGAGAAGGATGAGGATGCGCGTGCAAAGGGAGACACAGGGGCGTTCGCGCCAGGCGAAACTGGCCCTGAATGCAGTCCAGATATGGGCCCTGAAACTGACCCGGAAACCAGCCCCGAATGCAGCCCTGGGCCTGGGATTGCCATTGAAACGGGCCCTGTCCCGTACAATCCTTGGCCTGATGCCGAACCAGCGAGGCCTGGGATAGAGATCCGTGCAAGAGTTGCTGAGCCGCCAAGAGGAGGTGCAGTGATGCGCGCTTGGGTGCTCCCTGCCTGGGGAGTAGCAGCACCACCTGTCCCTGCTCCTGCAGCAAAGCTCCTTGCCTCCAGAGGGTTGACGTTGCCGCTGGTGCCACTGGCGTTGCTGGTGCGAGCAGCAAGGCGAGCGGCGGCTGAAGCAGCAGCAGCAGAGGCAGAGGCGGAGAGGGGGATGGGCGGCTGGGGGGAAGGCCGCGCAGGCATGGCAGGTGGCGCTGTTGCTACAGCTGTTTGCGCTGACACTGGTTCCACTCCTGCTGCTGCAGCACCATCATCACCTGCACCCTCCCTAGAGTGAGCCTTCGCCTGTTGACCCTGTTGGTCCTCTTTCAGTTGAGCCTCCCCAGGTTGGCCCTCCCCCAAATAGTTCTCCCTGAGCTGTCTCAGCTGTGCTGTGGCGCGCTTTAGCTTCGCCAGCACGCTCCCCTCTCTCACCGCCACCCTTCTCCCTGCCGCTGCCGCTGCTGCTGCTGCTGCTGCTGCTACTGGTGGTGGTGGTGGTGCTGCTGCTGCTGCTGCTGCTGCTGCAGCAGCTGTGGCTTGACCAGGTATGGGTTCATCTCTGTCCCCCTCAATTTCCCGTGCCTTTCCTTCTATCTTTCGCTCTCCGTTTTGCTCCTTCTCCGCTATTCTCTCTCCCACTTCCTCTCTTTCCTCCTCGCCCTCACCACCCTTCATTGGAACCTTCAACCCTTCCTCTCGCTCTTCCGTGGTGTTCCTCCCCTTGAGCTCGTCTTGCACTCTGCTTCCCTCAGCCCCAGCCAAAGCGCCATTACCAACACTGGTTGCGCTACCACCAGAGCCACTTGAACTAACACCAGCGCCACGAGCACCAGCAGCAGCAGCAGCAGCAGCCTCATTGCCCTGCACCTCACTCTCTCCCCACCTTGCCTGATCACCCAAGCTCCCATGCCTCCTCCCGCTGCCACTGTTCCCACCACTGCCCTCTGGAAAATCCAGCCCTGCGTCCGAGCCTGAAAACGAGCCGCTGCCTCCCGTTCGTGACTTGCCACTCCTGTTTTCTTCCGGTGCAGGGCCGGGGAGGTTCTCATGTGCCCATGCCTGTACCCGGTCAGCACGCTCCCAGCCCCTCTCCTGCTCCTCCCAGCCCTCCCTCCTTTCTCCTCTCCTCATCTGAGGCATCTCCACACGCGCACTCTCTGCACCGCTCCCAACACTCCCCTCACCCTTCTCCACTCCTCCATCTTCCCTCGTCTGCACCTCCTCCCGCCTCCATTCCTCTCTATTCTCCCCCATCTCCTCTCCCTTCGCTCCATTGCCTTGCATACTAGAACCCTCTCCCTCCGCTCTCCTTCTATCATCACCATCATCACCACCATCGTCATCACCACCATCACAACTGCCGCCACCACTGCTATCATCCCCCGCAGCACCAGCTGCAAACGCGCCTACGTCCTCCTCCTCCCTCTGCTCCTCCCCTCCTCTCGCCCCTGCTCGCCTCCCTTCCCCTACACTCTCACGCCCCAACTGGTTCCCTACAACACTCGAAGCTGCAGACGAACCTACCTCCCCCTCTCCCTCGCAAACCCCTCCTCTCTCCCCCTCCTCACGCATCCCGTCTCCCCCACTCTCAAACACCAGTTGCCTGCTCACAGCCCCTCTACGCAGCCCAAAAGACTCTGGCAGTGCAGGTAGGGCGTCAGCAGGGGAGAGAGAGAATGAGGAGCGGGGGGAGGAGCCGGGGGTAGTGGCTGCGAGGGGCGAGTGCGGGGGGGAGGATGCGAGGCTAGAGGCGTTTCCGCCTGCCTGCCCGCCTGCCCCTGCTGTGCCCCGCTCGCTGCCCCTGCTGTGGGCTGCTGCCGCCAGTGGAACGCGGAGAGGGAGGGAGGCGGGGGCGTGGGGAAGGGGGAGAGGGGGGCGGGTGGGTGCTGGGGGAAGGCGGAGAGGGAGGGGGGCGGAGGAGCGGGGGAAGGGGAGCCGGGAGGGGAGGAGAGAGGGGAGAGAGAGGGATTGGCAGATGGGAGCGGGAGAGGGGACCGAGGAGGGGAGGATGACGGGCAGTGGGAAGCGGTGTGAAGCAGTGATGCAGCCGGGGAAAGCAGCGGCGACGCCCCACCAGAAACAACACCAAAAGTCCCATTCCCACCACCACCAGAAGCACCAGCACCAGCGGTACCACGACCAGTAGTGACACCAGCAGCAGCAGCAGCAGCAGCAGCAGCAGTACCGGCAGTACCGGGAGTAGCGGTGGAGAGGGAGAGGGAGTGACGATGCCGGCGCATGAACTGGGAGCGGGCGACGCGCAGCAGAGTGGCGGGCTGGGCGTGGCAGCGCTCGGCGAGATCAAACAGACGCACTGCCACGTGGAGCCGCCCCTCCGCCTCCGCCATGTCCACCTGCCTCAACCAGTGCCCCACCGTGTACAGCGCCTTCTCTCCGCCTCCTCCTCCCGCTCCCGCTCCCCCACCCCCGCTGTGCCCCTGTGCGTGTGACCCAGTTGCTCCTGTACCCACTCCCTCCTCTTCCGCTGCTCCCACTGCTCCCGCTGCTCCTCCTGCTCCTCCCCCACCACCACTACCGCCCCTGTCCCCGGCAACACCAGCAGCCGTACCCGGACTCATCCCACCACCAGTAACACTCAAAGGGCTGCTTCCCATTCCCATCCCTCCCCCTAGCACCCCCCCGCCACTGCCTGTGCTGCTCATGCTCATACCCCCCATGAGGCCCAGACCCAGCCGGCTGGGGCTGCTGGCTGTGCTACAGCTGGTGCTACAGCCGCCGCCCATCTCCTCTACCTCTGCTGACACTGCCGCAGCAGCAGCCGCTACAGCCGCTGCTGACTCAGCATCCAGGTCAGCAGAGAGCGCATCCACGTGAGCAGAGAGGGACGGCGGGAGAGGCGGCTTAGCGAGTGCGGGGGTGAGCTGGGCAGGCAAGCAAGGCTTGTGAGTTGTCACTTCTATTTCCACCTTCTCACCACCTTCAGCATCCTTGCACTCCTCCTCACCGCACCCCACCTCCTCACCTCCAGACTCCTGAGCCTGCTCACCACCCCCCACCTCAGCCTCCCCACCCACCTCCTCGCCCTCCCCGCTCATCTCAGCCCCCTCATTCATCTCACCAGCCGTTTCCTTCATACTCTCCTCACCTTCCGCGCCTTCCCTGTCATCCCCACCATATCCACCATTCTCACAGCCTGCTCTCACCTCCTCCCTCTCCGTCTCCCCTTCTCCCTCCCTCTCCATCTCCCCTTCTCCCTCCCCCTCCGTCTCCCCTTCTCCCCCCTCCGTCTCCCCTTCTCTCTCCCTCTCTGCCTCCCTCTCTGCCTCCTTGCCCTCTATTTCCCCCTCCATTTCATGGTAAAGAGTCACATTCCTGTCCATCTCACCTTCTCGCTCCCTCTCCACCTCCCCCCCTTCCCTGCCCCCCTCCCAATCTGTGCCCACATCCCTGCCCTCCCTGCCCTCCCTGCCCTCCCTGCCCCCCACCATTTCATGGTAAGGAGTCACATCCCTCTCCATCTCCATTCCAAAACCCCCCTCCCCCTCCTCACTCCCCCCCTCCTCTTCCCTCTCACCTCCACTCCCCTCTCTCTCCACCTCAACCCTATCCCCCTCGCCACCCTCCCCCATCTCGTCGCCACCCTCTTCCTCCACCCCCATTTCCCTCTCCACCTCTCCCCTCATCACACCCCCCTCCCCTACACCCTCCCCTTCTCCCGCCCCAACCACAGCCCTCCTTTCCGCCGCCCCACCCTCCTCCCCCTGCACGCCTCTCCGTGCTCGCCGCGTCCCTCTCTCCACCAGCGCTTCCAGCTCTTTCCTCAACGCCTCCACCTCATCCGGTAACAGCCCCTGCTCCAGTGCCAGCTCAAGCTGACGTAGACTCGCCTCCACTGCCACCTCATCCAGCTCGTCATCCTCGTCAGCCAGGCCCATTGCCACGTCAGCATCACCAGCAGCTCTGCTGTTGCTGCCCGCGTGGAAGGAGAACTGAGCCCCGTTTACAGTCACATTTGCACTGTCACCAGACCCGCGTGGAGTATCATCACCATCACCACCTGCAGCAGCTGCAGCACCGGCAGCACCACCAGCAGCACTAGCCACACCAGCAGAACCAGCAGAACCGTCACCAGTTGCAGCCTCCCCCTGGCTCCCCTCCACATCAAATACACCTCCAATGGAATACACCTCCCCCGGCTGTAGCACGGGCAAGCCAACTGCGTCCCTTCCTCCTCCTGCTACAGCTGCAGCTTCCCCCTGCACTGTCTCCTCTTCCCCTCCACCACCCAAAGCAAAGCCCTCGAGAGTAAAGGGAAACCCAAACACTGATAACGCCTCTGCTGCTGCAGCGTTTGCATCCTCCTCACTATACTCCCACATCTCATTATCCCCCGCTTCTCCCAACCCCCTTCCCCCTCCCCCTCCGCCCATCCCCCCTCCCCCACCTTCCCCATACTCCCCCAGGCGCTCCAGCGCCTGTGCCACCGCCCCCGCCTCCATCCCCTCGCCAGCTGTCGCATCGTGATTGGCCGGAAAAGCGTGCATGGCTGCGGCGCCGGAGCTGCGCATGCGGTAGAGCATCGAGGCTCGGCCCAAGGCTCCAGGTCTTGAGGCGTAGGCAACCAGGATCGGGAGCACCGAAGCTACGCTGGGCTGCTGCGGTGTGACTGTAACGAAGGCAGATGGTGGAGTGGCAGCGTCTGTGCTTGTATCCGCCTCTACAGATGCTGCAGGCATACTGTGAGAGCCCTCGAAATGTTCTGTCAATGGCTCAGGGGTGTTCTCTTGAGTCGCCTCTACAGCAGTTTGCTTGTGAGGCGCGTCTAGAGCGGTGAGTCTTTCAGTCTCCTCTGAAGGAGGGGTGTCAGCAGCTGTTGTTTTCATGGGTGGCAGTGGAGTGTTGGTGGCTGCAACAAAGGCAACGGTAGCAGCTGATTCCGTTCCCTCGCTGCCAGCACCTGAGGCTGCACCTGAAGCAGCACCTGAAGCAGCAGCTGGGTCAGCATCAGCAGCATGGGGAGGCGGGAGGTGGATGGCAACAGGAGCAGGAGCAGAGGTAGCGGCAAAGGGATGCCGGATGGTGCGGCTGAGCACGGAGCGAGGGACGGGCAACAGCGCATCAGCAGCAGCAGAGGAAGCAGCAGAGGCGGCAGCAGCAGCGGCAGCAGCGGAGGAGAGGGCGGCAGTGGTGAGGGCGGAGTGGTTTCTGCGCCACAGCCCGTGCATGAGAGGGCGGGGGGGAGCAGGGGCGGCGGGCACAGCAGCAGCAGTAGCAGGAGCAGCAGTGGGAGCAGCAGCGGCGCCTGCAGCAGTGGGGAGCAGGTGCGGGTGGTGGGTGCGGAGGAGAGAGGCGAGTGGCAGAGGTTCCTCCTCACACTCATAGTCTTCTTTTTGGTGGGGGGCGATTGGGAGTGGTGGTGTGGGTTGCTGGATAGCAGGAGGCGGGAGGAATACCGGTGGCATCGTTGAAGACAGGTCGGCGAATGCAGCTGTGCTGCTTGGAGAGGGAGAGGATGCCTCTAACGGAGAGGCTTGTAACGGGGATGCAGCTGCACTGGCAGCAGAGGCCGTGTGGACCGATGCAGTGTCAGCTGCTGGTGCATCAGCTGCCACATCAGCATGTGAGGGTGGGGTGTCCAGCTGGCGGTTGTCATGGTAACCACCATGGCTGCCGTCCCGCACTGCCCCCTCAGAGGCCATGAGAGCTGCAGCAGCAGCCATGCCCCCATCCCATTCCGCTGACATACCCATTGTCACCATGTCGTCCTCCCCACTCGCCCCATACTGCCCCCTCGCCGCATTCTTCCCGTTTGCTCCATACTGCTCCCTCGCCCCATACTGCTCCCTCGCCCCATACTCCCCTGTTCCACCATGCTCTCGCCGCCCTATGCCATACGCATACCCACGCCCTGTTTCCTCACCCTCGTCCCTCACACCCTCCTCTCTGGGTTCCCCCTTTCCTCTTCCCCTCTCACTCTCAGCTTCCCCCTCCGCCTCCGCCTCCCCCTGCTCTCTCTTCCGCTTCCCTGACACCACCCGCGTAGTGCTTCCCTCCTCCTCCTGCTCCTGCTCCTGCTCCTGCTCCTCCTCCTGCTGCTGCCACCGCACCATGCCATGCCCATACCTGTCCAGATCATGCCCACCCTCCGCCATGCCATCTCCACCATCATCACCATCATCCCCATCCCCATCCGCACCATCCCTATCCGCATCATCCCCATCATCCCCATACCCACCCTCACCCTTGTCATTTTCTCCCCACTCTCCATGTGCCCTTCCCTCCTCGCCCCCATAAAACCCCCTCTCCGCCCACCCTTCCATCTCCCCTCCTCTTTCCCTAACCCGCTCTTCCCCCTCATCTCCAGTCCCATACCCTTCCGCGCCCCCTGACCATTCCCCTTGGCCCCCAACCTCCGCAGTCCCCCAGTCATTCTCCCCCTGCCCTTCGTTTGCCCTTCCTCTCCGCCCCTCCGCCTCCTCCCCCGCCATATCCTGATCTCCCCTAATGGCGGAACCCTCCCCTGTTCCCCGCTCCTCCCGCGTGCTTCCCCCTGCCGCCCTCTTCCCCCGTTCGTTTCTGCCATGCGCTCTCCCCTCCCCGCGCTTTGACCTCCGCGCGCTCCACTGGGCGCGCAAACTCCGCCTCGACTCCGCCTTGCCCTCTTCCGCCTGTCCTGCGCCATCCCCCCCGTCCCCATCCCTCCCTCCCGCCAATCCCCATCGCGCCCGGTGCTTCCGCGAGCTTCCGCCAATTCCTTCTCCGCGCTTCCGCGAACCCTCCCGCGTGTCCCCGTCATCCGCGTCCGCCGTCTCCCCCGCCACCGTCCCGCGGGCCGCCATTGCGCCCACCGCAACCGCCGCCGCAGCTCCAGCCGCAACTGACGGCGCACCACCATCCCCAGCAGCATCTGAATCATAGTAGTCATGATTCTCGTCACCTCTCTCCCCCGTATTCCCCGCTTCCGCTCCAGCTGGAGCCGCCTCTCGTTCCGCCGTTGCCACGTCAGCGCCAATTGCCACGTCAGCCTCAGTGGCCCAATCTCCCGCCGCGCCACTACCAGCTGCATCCCCACTGGCATCAGCCTCATTCGCGCTAGTGACTGCCGCGGTATTGGCACCATCATCACCACCACCACCACCATCACCACCATCACCACCACCATCACCACCACCATCACCACCACTATTTCCAGTAGCTGCAGCAGCGGGACTCGCTCCACCGCCACCACCGCCAGCAGCGGTAGCAGCAGCACTGGCGCGCGCAGCTAGAAAGTCCGCAAACGATACGTCAACTCCGCCGCCCCGGAAATACTCGTGCGTGACTTTACTCGCCGGTGACGCCGCACTCCCCGCGCTCTGTCTTCGCCGATTCCTGTACTCCGTGATATCCGGAACCTTGTAGTACCTCCCCTCGTCCTCGCTACTACTCTCCTCGTCTCCGTTACTATCAGCCTCGCGATAAGGTCCGGGCGAGCGCGAGAGGGCTTCTAACGAGGGCAAGTGGTCCACCGCGGACGACGGCGCGGGGGGCGTCGCGCCGCGCCCGCCCCACGGGCTCGCGTCGGCGACGTGCGGACTCCACGCCGCTTCTTGCGGACTCACCCGCAGCGCCGTTGATTCTCCTTGTTCCTGCTGCGTCTGCTGGTCCTGGCCGAAACCCCTGGAGACTACGGAAATCTCGGCCGAGTCCGCCACAGCTGCCCCTCCCACGCCGCTCAACCCGCCGCCGTTTGCGCCGCAGAGAACGCTGCCGCTGCTGCTGCTGCGCGCGTGCTGCTGTCGCGCGCGCCTGTCCCTCGCGCCCGCAACTATACTCTCAAACGGCAAACCCCCTGCCTCCGCCTGCTCCTGCTCCCGCCGCTGCTGGCGCTCTTCCCACTCGCGCTCCTGCTGCGCCTGGAAGCGACGGGAAGGCGTCGCGGAGGGGGTGACGGGGCCGGACAGCATGTCGATAAACCCGCCAGCGCTAGAGCGCAGAGGGGAGATCGACCGGCGCAAGGGAGAGCGGGAGGGGAGCGGGGAAACGGAACCCGCACGGCTGCCTCTTGCGGACGAGCTTCCCGCGCCCGCCCCATCCCACACCCCGCTCCCGCGCATGCTTCCGCGCACGCTCCCGCCCCCGCCTACCCTCCGCTCCTCGTCGGCTTCCGCGCCCATCCGCGGGCCTCTGTACGGGGAGAGAGATCGTCCGCGCTCGATGGGTCGCCGCGGCTTTGGGGATGTCTCGAACATGCGCAGCCGCATCGGAGAGCGGGACCCGGACCTGCCCCGAGCCTCGGCATCAGGCTCGGCAACGGGCGTCCGGACGTACAGGCCTGCGAGCAGTCCGGAAATACCCCCCGACGCGCTTGTCCGGAGGGAGTTGGCGGAGCCGGGGAGCGGGGAGGCTGTAGGCTCGTCTGACACGTGTCGCTCTAACGGGTCTCGCTTCAGCTGCTGCGGCGTGTGACAGTAAATGGGTGACTGTAACGGTGCTGGCTCTATTGGGCCGCTGTGGTGGCGAGGTAGAATCGGGGGCGACTGAAATGAGTCCCGCGGAGACGGCGCGAGGGGAGTGCGCGGAGTGCGCGGGGTGGCGGGCTGCGCGGGCGCGTGGATCGGGATGGCGCTGCGACTGGTCTTCACGTGAAGACCCCTGCACGCATGGAAAAGGTCGCGTGGGGGCATGGAGGGGGATGGGGGGCGGAAGTGTTGAAGTGTGGAAGGTTGGGGAGGGGAAGGTGTGGAAGTGTTGAATCATAGGGATGTTGGCACGTGAAAACCTGCGGACGGGGTAACGATTGCAAGAATTTCAGGAACGACTACGGTTGAGATTAGGTCTCTGATCGCTCCGTCCGTTTTGCCATTTGCCATAGTTGGTCGCCACTCACCGTTGATGCTTCTCCATGCTCGCGAGGATATCCAAGTCTTAGCGCACATCGCGCGGCACGTGGTTTCTGAGAACTCTCAACTCAAAATCCACCTGGAAACAACACGTCGCCCACTCACCGTTGCTGCTTCTCCATGCTCGCGAGGATATCCAAGTCGGCACGCACATCGCGCGGCACGACCTGCAGCGGCCAGCCCAGCGACCCGTTGTCCGCCCAACCGGACGCCGCCAGCTCCGCCGCCGTCATCATCGTGGCCTAAACGCGTTATTCGCTCGCGCTGCGTTGCTGAGTACCGATATTCCCTCGAGGAATGCCCTAAGTTACTGGTTTAACATGCGGTGTTACTGTTACCGTTACGAGTCTGTTGTTTTTTTCACAATTGCGCCGCGAAAGCATTGCTGGACATCAATAGCGGCGCCGAGTGCAAGGCTCCATTTCACTCTCGGACCGTCGTCATTCTAGGCGAACGACTTCACCCACCAGCGCAATGAGAAAACTACGATGCTTCTACGTCGATTACGCTTCGTGTGTCACCCAACAGCAGCACCATGAGAAAGAATTTCGCGGCGTAGGCGAAAAGGCACTTGTGGTGGTGGCGGAAAGGACATGATGACAAGGAACCGCGCAACGGTGGCGCAAACAGAAGAGGTGGGTGGGGTGGGGAGGGAAATTGAGATCGGCCATTATCTCCGATACTCAAATTATGCCCGGAGCGTTTTTCGTTCGTACTCAACCGACAATTTCTCGTTATATCGCTCACATCTACTGTTTCACTTTTTCTTAGGCACAAAACTGAAACAAAGTTGCCACTAACACCTCACCTGCGGCGGACTACAAATCACTTCTACAGCGGCATAGGGGAGTGCAGTTCACACCTCTCATTGCTGAGACATGGGGATGCTTGGGGGGGAGTTTTGGACGGTGGCTTAAGAAGCAGGGTGACGCGCAGATCGAGATAGCAAAGACGAAAGGGGCGGCGCGAGCTACGGGAAAGGGTTTCTCGGCTTATTTGCTCGGTTCACTCAAAGCGGCCGTGGGTGTGGCTTTGCAGCGGGCTCAGGCGCGTGTGATCTTGTTACGCGCGGCGTCGATGATGAGAGGTCCAGAGGCTGTTTGGGTGGAGCGGGAGGATGTTGAGGAGGAGATGGGATGGGATGCTCCGTGGGCGGATGCACCCTACTTGGTAGACATGCGGGTTTAAAGGGCGGGTTTATGGCGGGGTTTTGGTTCGATGGGAGTGCAGTTGGGGTGTTTTGATGGGATGGTTTGATGGGGTTTCAATTGTGTGTGCTATTGGGGTTTTCTTGATGTTGTGTCTTGTGTTTTTTCTTCCCTTTTCCCGGGTTTTCCTCCTCCGACCATTTTCTCCCTATTCCCTTCCTTCTTTCTTCTTCTTTCCTTTTTTCTCCTCACGTTATTCCTCCTTTCCTCTTCTCTTCCTGTTCCAAATCTCTGATAGACACTCTGTTCCACCCAAAAAAAAAAAAAAAAAAAACACCTCACCTGCACATACCCCTGCAAACAAAACAAGATATAAAATGAAACACTTAGATAACCTGAATACACTTTGGGAAAATCAAACATAAATACAGGAAGCTACCAAATATTTAAGGTTGATGCCTTCGCTTTTGCCTGCAGTTTTTTAATGAGTGTTAATATACTGATTGTTCTTTACGGAAGTTAAGCTCCGATCCAAGGGCGCGTAGATATGGATTGAAAGATTTCATCTCAAATTTAAAACTGTTGAAGACTTGGTTGGATTTAGGATTCCGTGATTGGTTGGCGAACTACAAAATCTATGACGAGCTGGGGTAACTTTTTTGCTTCACCAATCACGGGCGAGCAAACCAGCCAAGTGTTAAACGTCAGGGTATAAGTGTAGAACATTTGTCAATATGAGTCGCGAGTTTTAAGTTCACATCGAAAGCTCGATACAATTTTTCGTAATTTAATGTGGTAACTGCGTTCAGTAACCGCGTTCTGTTTCTATCACATTTCGACAGAATTATTAGCGTAGAAAGTTTGATTAAAGAGCGAGAGCCAGTCGGCGATGAGGAATACAGGTTGAGTATGAACGAAAAACGCTCCGGGCATAATTTGAGTATCGGAGATAATGGCCGAATTGAGATGAACGCAAGTGAGGCGAATGAGGGGATTTTGGCGGAGGCGCCAAAACAATGCAGGCAAACCCAACAGTTGCTTCTGGTGGTCAAGCATGTCCTCCTGCAGCAAGGGGAACGAGGGAAGGCTGTCCCGCGCACGGAAAACGCGAGACAGGTCATCCGTACCTGCCGAAATGGGGTGTGCGTTCGCTTTCGTTACAGTGTCAATACAATAAACCGTCGATGCTTCCGATCCGACGGTGGTCTGCAGTGTTTCAAAATGACCCGACACGACAGCTCCCCCAAATTGCTTTCCAGACCTTGCCAATCAGCATCTGGTAGAGATCGCGCCGCAAACTGCAAGGCCAACCGAGTCGCTCGTGGTGTGCGAGGCGACAATAGGTGTTCGCAGACGCTTGTGGTAACTAGTTAACAGTGACATGAGTACACTTAAAGAGATTGCACTGAATAAAGAATAACGAAGCCTACAATGAACACGGTCGAGATAGTGTACTGGGGAAATCCCTAGTAATGTGACTTTGACATATCACCCTGTTCATGTCTGATGATCGAAGTGCTGCGATCAGAAGTTGATCGTTCCCAGGATCTACTCGGGAAGGTTCGCACAGAGAAATGAAGTTGGTGGGCCCTTGACCTCAATAGCAGAGTGGATGTAAAATATTTGAGATGAATAAAATATGAAAATACAGCAAATATAAATATGAGTACAGGGAAGGTGAAACTTCCTAGCTAGCCATGTACTCTAAGGGGTACATTCCCTTATTCAAATTCATTCCCAACCGTGCGGCGCGTACAGTTACGAAACTGTTCCCGCCGAAACCATCCTGCCTGCAGCTGTCTGATGCCATCTGTTCCGACGGTCCAGATGCGTCTTAAAGCTCAAGGCCCAAATTGCGGATCGCGCAGGGCATGATTAGTAATCTTGATGCCTTGCTGATAGGAAGCTTGTGAACTAGCATGGGACAACTTGGGACTTTTGAAACCAAACACGAAGACCCCACTCTTTCAAAGTGTAGCGAGGTGTTGGGCGAAAGTCTAACCCCTCGCTCAACACCTCAGCCTACTTTTGTAAGTGCCTCCCCCACAGCCCAGCGGTCAACCTTAGTAAGGTTGAACAATTTGGGCCTTGAGCTTTAATCGTCTGACGCTTCGAGTCAATTCTGACTCTTCGTGTTCGTTCTTGATACTGCATGCTTCCCTTGCTGCGGTGAGGAGTGCACAGTAATAATCAAATATTACCATTCGTAACACCCCCCTTCACTCCTGGCCGTAGCTCGACTTGACCTGTTTGACCACGCCGCTGAGTTCGGAGCAGTGCTGGTACTGCTGCCGTGGCAGTGGCTTAGTGAGGAAATCTGCCGCCATGTCACCGGTTGGGCAATAAGTCAAGTTGACCTTGCCCTTGTCCACCTCGTCCTTCACGAAGAAATACCGCAGCGCAATGTGCTTGGTGCGGTTGACGAAGCCAGGTTTGTTGGCGATCCGAATTGCGCTCTGGTCGTCGCAGTGGAGACGAAAAGTGGGCGAAGCTGGGATTTTTGCCTCCAGCAGGAGTTCCTGTAAGTAGAGTCCTTCGCGAACTGCTGCGGTTGCTGCGATGAATTCCGCTTCGGCTGATGACAGGGCAACCAGCTCCTGCTTCTGCGAGTTCCAGGAGATTGGTCCCGTTGGTTCGAGTCGGAACAGGAAGCCAGTCCTGGACCGTCGATTGTCGGGATCTGCTGCATGATCGGCATCCACGTAGCCGATGAGATTGAAGGATGGGGTTGGTGCAGTTGAGTAGCACAACCCAATCTTGGGCGTCGAGACGAAGAATTGCAGTGCACGCTGCAGGTCCAGAAGATTTTCAGCCGTTGGTTTGCGTGAGTACTGGGCCAACTGGCTTGCGATGTAGGAGAGATCTGGCCTGCAGGTGACAGAGGCGAAGAGCAGGCATCCCAACTGCTGCTGGTAAGTCTGAATTCCAGCAGGGGATAGGGCTTTGTTGTCAGGTTTGTGGTTCGGTCCAGGGGTTCGGTAGGGAGTTGAGAGAGGTGCAGGTGAAATGTTGAACCTCTTCCCTAACTCCTCTGGCGCGTAGGAGATGTTGAGGCCTAAGTTCTGCTTCACCTCATAGTTGCATGTGATGTCGACGCGCCCCGCCAAGGCTTTCTCGAACTGCTCGAGTAGCTCATTGTTTGAGCCTGTGTAGAGCAAGTCGTCGACGTAAACTGTGAGGAGGATGTATTCGCCCCGGAATTGGCGGCGGTACATCCCTGGATCGTACGGCATCTGCTTGAATCCGATTTCAAGCAGGATGTTGTGTAGATACTGCTGCCACAGCCTCGGCGCCTGCTTGATCCCGTAGAGTGACTTGCGCAGTTGGCACACGCGCGAGTCCCCTTCACCGTATGTATGCGGCTGCTCCACGTAAATCACGGCGTCTACCACCACGTATAAGAACGGGTTCTTGACGTCAATTTGGCGGAGCGGTAGGTGCCTTGCAGCTGCGATAGCGAGCAGGATTCGAACCGAGGTATGACGGCTGCCTGGAGCAAACGTCTGGTCGAAGTCAATCCCGTGCCTCTGGTCGTAGCCGCGTACCACCCAGCGCGCCTTGAAGCGCTCGATCGTTCCGTCCGCTGCGGTCTTCACGCGGAAGACCCACTTGCCCGAGAGGATTCTTGCGCCTTTGATTGCCGCACGGTCGACTAACACCCAGGTTTCTCAGGACTCGAGCGGTTTAATCTCTGCGTCCATTGCCTCGCGCCACTCCTTGCTGTGAGATCCAGAGAGAGCTTCGCGCGGGTTTCGAGGCTCGATGACACGTGGGTTGCAGTGTGTAGTCTGAGTAGCTGCAGACCTGAGACGGTGCTGTCGTGGCGCCGTTGTGGGATGACTTCCTGCACTTCGTCATCATCGCTCTCTGGTTCAGGTGGCGCTGGTGATCCTGGGTTTCTGCCGCTTCCGCCTGTTCGGCCCATTCCTCCTGTTGGGGAATCGTCGTCGTCGTCGCTCCTGCGCCGAGCCTCCCATGTGAACTCGCCTCTTGTATCCTGCTCCAGTATTGCTGCAGCGGCTTCGTCTTCGGGTGTTGCGTAGCTGTGCCCGTTGTTCGCATAAACGCGATTCGCGTTTGTTTCC